AAGCGCTTATTCCACTGAGCCATCTCCCTGGCCCCAGATTTTTTAAATGTATATAATAGTAGAATCTGTAGAGTGAGTTACCATTAAGCTGGTTGCACTGAAAAGGCAGATGTAGCACTGCACATCTGTAATCTGAGCAGTACCAAAGCTGAGGCAGGAGGATCTCCAGGAGTTGAAAGGCAGCATGGGGTACATAGTGACATAAGGAGTTCAAGGCCAGCCTGAATTGCATAGAGTTTTTCTTTACAAATAAAAGGAAAGAAATGAAATAAACGCAAACAAAAAAGATGTTACGGTTGGCCATTTGTCCAAAGAATGAAAACATAGATGTAAGAAACTTCAATATCTCCTGGTAGAGAAATTAAGAGAATTGAAGCTGAGGTGTGAATTTTAGCTGAATGAACTTTGTATGAGAATATAAACAATAATCTTGGAAAGAGGCTTGCATCATGGGAGAGAGAACCAGTTTTGTAGGCTAGGATCTTTAGTGAATTTTCTTTGGTTTTTCATTTTGACATTTGTTTAATTTGCAAATAAAATTTGGTCTTCCCTGCCCAGTTTTGTACTTTGCTTCATTCTGTAGCTCAGGCTGGCCTCTACCACTGATTCTCCTTGGAGCTAGGATTACAAACAGGGGCCACTTCAGCAGCTTGATTTTATACTTTCGCTTTCTTCCTGCTTTCATCCTGTTTTGCGCTTGAGTACAGCAGGCTCAGTACAGATTTACTCCGTATGTTGGGTTTGGATTCATACGGCCAGGCTTCGGGTCTCGCTACCCCGCGTTGTAACTGCGACTGGGCTTTTCGCTGTTAGATATCCTTTGATGTGACAAAATGCCTGAAAAAATCAATGTAAAAGAGGAATGTTCTTTTGACCCATGGCTTCAGGGGTTTTGGTTCAGACTTAGCTCGCTTTAGTCTGTGGCAGGCAGACGTGGCGGTAGCCCTGCCTAGAGGCTGCCGCTGTTCCAGTTCTTGTTATCTCCAAGACCTGAGCAGGAAACAGAGACGGCGAAAAACCATCCTGGACACTCAGGACACGCTCCTCAGCGCGGGAGCGGCCGACCAAGAGCTCACGCACCATGAAGCCAAAGGTCGGGGCCGCCGTGTGCGTCACACAAGGGGGGAGACTGCGGCCACGCTTGCCCCGCATCAGAGGCCGCTCCTTCTGTTACGAAGGGCGTTGGCCCCTCTGAATCTTTGAGGAACAATCATGGGATCCAAGTAGGGGGTTGCGG